CAAGCAGCTGCTGGAACTTCGCAAGCTGTTCTTCCCAAAGCTGGTGAGCGCCGAGCTGGGCTTGCTCTGCCTCCACTCCGTCGCTTTGGTTTCCAGGACCTTCCTCTCCATCTATGTGGCCGCCCTCGATGGGAAGATTGTGAAAAGCATCGTGGAAAAAAAGCCCAGGAGCTTTGTCTGCAAATTAATCAAGTGGCTGATGATTGCAATCCCGGCCACTTTCGTGAACAGCACCATACGGTACCTGGAGTGCAAGCTGGCCCTCGCCTTCCGCACGCGCCTGGTGGATCACGCCTATGAGACCTACTTTGCCAACCAGACTTACTACAGAGTGATCAGCATGGATGGGCGGTTGGCCAACCCCGACCAGTCCCTCACTGAGGACATCATGATGTTCTCGCAGTCCGTGGCGCATCTCTACTCCAATCTCACCAAGCCCATCCTGGATGTCGTGCTCACCTCCTACACCCTCATCCGCACAGCGCGGTCCCGGGGGGCTAACCCCATCGGGCCCACGGTCCTGGCTGGGCTCGTCGTCTACGCTACGGCCCGCGTACTCAAAGCCTGCTCGCCCAAGTTTGGCAAGCTGGTGGCTGAGGAGGCTCAGAAGAAGGGCTATCTGCGCTTCATGCATTCACGCATCATTGCCAACGTGGAAGAGATCGCCTTTTACCGAGGGCACAAGGTAAGGAGGAGAGAAATCGGAGGGTATTTGGGGCACTCCTGCAGCTTCCCCTGCTGCCCTCCTCGAGCGCTTTGGGTCCCTCTGACATTTAGACCTGTTTACAGCTAGCACTTCCCCTTTCTTAGGAAAATGCCGTCTCACAGGCAGTATCTGGGGGGAGCAGACCGTAGTTCCCTTGTGCTCTGACAATGTTCCTGTTTTGCAGCTGGATCCTATGCTTTTCTAGAAAGCTAATCTCTGTTGTTGTTTTTCCCCCGCCCAGTCCACCCGTCCATTCCACTTAACTTTTCCAGGCTTTTTTTTTTTTCACCCATGTTTATGAACTACCAGATTTAATGCTGCAGGAATAGCAACCAGGGCACACCAGAAACTCTAGGGGAAAACTCTGTGATAGCACAGGGAGCACTACAACCTTTGACACTCTTTTACATAGCTAAGCAAAGATGTAGTCATCAGAGTCTTAAAATAGCTTAAGTACAGTACTTCAGCAGTCACAGTTACATAAACTAATGGCTTGTTTTAAAGCCACCTTATTGAGGAACTCTTCATACTTTTATTAGAAGACAGTTTTGGCTGTAACACCTTTCAAATGGGATTTGGAAAATAGAGTTGTTACATGTAAGGTGAAAATGAAAGCTGGAAACCAGCCTGAATTATTACTCTTTCAGTCCGAGCAATGATTATATAATGAAAATGGTTTATTTTGGTAGAAGCAATCCTTCTCAAAAGCTGCTGATGCTAATGTTTTAAGTGCAGCTAAACTAAACATTTTTTCAGTTCCCACGTATACTGGCTTGAACTGACTGCATTATATCATGTTGACTTGCAACTGTCTTGGACTTGTTAAACCTCTTGGGATAGTTTTCTCTTCCTCCAGACTGCTTGAAAAAACAAGCAGCATTGCATTTCAGGGATCAGCTCTGCAACTTTAAGTCATTGGAGATAATTGATCCCCAGACACTTTCCAATTTGAGGAGTTTCAGTTGCTATGAAACTCTACAGCTGCAGCTTTATGAAAAAGATGTGGAATCAGTCTTATTTTGGTTGTTAGAATCAGCTGTTGTGACTGCCTAGTGTGTTGTTCTTGTATATATCAGAGATCTTAAAAGAGCTAAAAACCTGCCGAAGTGCTACTGAGGGACGATGGTGTAAGAACTGGGTCCATGGACTTCCATAAAGCCGTGCACTTTTCCTGTGACACTGCAGCACTGTGAAAATAAAGTACTACGCAGCAGATGTGACTCAGAAGTCACAGCTCCCGGTACTCGATTATTTCATGCACATATATGAACGTATGTTGTATGACGTGTGCATCTTTGTTGCATTGTATAAATGTTTTATTTTTTAACTGTAGGTAGAAATGAAGCAACTGCAAAAAAGCTACAAGGCTTTGGCAGATCAAATGAATCTCATTTTGTCCAAACGTTTATGGTACATCATGATAGAGCAGTTCCTGATGAAGTATGTCTGGAGTAGCTGTGGTATGATTATGGTCGCTGTGCCCATCATCACTGCAACGGGATTTGCAGATGGCGGTAATACCATTTTTTACTTAATTTCTAATTGTTTCTTTGAAGTTATGTCCTCAAAAGACTGTGCTTCCCCTGAATGCCAGTCATATTTATTTATTATTCACAGACTTTATTACAATGTCCATGTCTTGTGTGTAACTTTCAAGCATAACAAGTCAGCTGAGGAAAGAGCCAATGCAAAAGATCCAACTTTGAACATAAGCCTGATACACAGCATGAATTCAGGACTTAGAGGATCCTTGTGTCACATGAGATTATAATGATAATTGCAGTCATTTTTCACTAGCCACTGTTGGGATGGCAGGATGATTTTTGCAGCATCTCTTGTTACTTTACAAAACGATGCTATTAACTTTCCTAGAGTGCTTTTCTCCTCCTTCCATAAGCCATAGTGTAAGTATAGGTAATTATTCTATTATGTATTGACCTCTTAGGAGTCAGGTCACTCCTGACTCCCTGAGAGAAGAGAAGGTGAAAATCAGGTTCCAGGTTTGGATGGTATCATTTTTGACATCCTATCACAACTTCCCAGGAAGTGAAATGACACTGAAGTACTGTTACTGTTGCAGATACTATTTAAAAAAAAAAAGAAGAGTAGAAGGAAAGGTAATTAAGGAGAGGTGGTGAAAGACCAGTGGGGAAGTTTGCCTCAACAGGCTTCCTTAAGCACAACTAGAACCACAGAAAATATTACAGATTCCATAGGATTTTTTTAAGCACAGATCCTACAATGTCTGTGGAAGGATCTGTTTCAAGTTGGGTGCATTTAATCAGGAATCAGTGAATTCGTTTTCATGCAGGTCTTGGTAATTATATTCCAAATCAGGGCTGTCCAACTGGAGAAGCTTTGTTCGACCTGTGGGATGACAGTGTGCAGTCCTCCCATGGTTTAGCTTACTTGCAGTTGTGTGGGTGCATGGCTAGTGTTCAGCTGTCTGACCTGTTGCCCGTCGCGTCGCTCGGGAGGGCACTATATCAGGACCCTGCCTGGCATCCTGGTAACAGCTTCAAAAATACCAGGAAGTCCTATTCCAAACAGAAGAGTTTGTACAAAGCCATTTCACCTTGCAGTGAAAGTTGGCACAACAGAAAAAAGGATAAGAGTCTCTCTGCTAAGATCGGAATGTGTACAGTCAAGAAAAAGGTCGTGTAACCACACATTGTATATATCTCCTTAGTATTACAGCATGAAAAAAAAAGACTCATATTCATACTAAACTAAATGACATTCCTGTTATTCATGAGTATTCTTTTGATAAATACTTTTCAAATGTGGGAGAAAAGAAAGATGGAGCGATGGCTCATGTGGTAAAGCGGAAGAATATTTGCCACCAGCAACCTAAACGGGACTTATTATGGAGACCTGAGGTGTATTGTAATGATGGATTGCAAACATAATACTGACCAATCAACACTGTCAAGAGCAGTTCAGAGTATAACAGGTATTCAAAGAGTCAAGCAGACCTGAACTTACCATTGACCTGCTTGGGAAAACAATGCTTTGTGCCTCAGCAGGTCAGATGCAAGTTTTGTTCGTATCTGAAGGAAGAGATAGTGGATTTGTTACTTTAGGATAAACCACGGGGATGAGGGATATGCACAAAGCTAATACCATGACCAGACTTGAGACTAAAGGTGTAAAGCAGTAGGTTTTGTACACTTCTTCGGGGGGTGCGTGTGTGTAAAAAATAAACAACAAACCAAACCAAACCAAAAAAAAAAAATCCTGCAATAAAAAGAATCTTGTTTTGGTGCAGGACTTGGATTTCTCTAGACACGGTGAACACTTATCTTCGTTCATAAAACAAGTAAGACTATCAATTACATAAATGAAGATGAAAAGGGAAGTGTTAGATTCTGTATGAAACAGAGACGGTCTTTCTGCCCTGTTACAACACACCACTTCTTCAAACACAGGAGGCCAGCCATACGAAAAATGTTTTGGACAAAAAGATCAAGAAAAGTAATCTTGTTGGGTTAGGCATGTAATGTAAGTGCTTGTGTTTTGGAGCAGTGAAATGCTCATAAATGCTATATAATTTTATTTTTTTCAAATACTCCTAAAATGACTGGTGCAGTGGTTTGTGGAGATCTCTCAACTGTTGCTCGATGAGCTAGCCTGGGTGCTGGAAGCAGCCAGTAAATTCAGCATTTACATATGGGACAAATGTTGCACTAGTGTAAGCCATACCTGATTCCTAAATGATTTAATTGTGGTGGTTCTATCTAGCATGAGCTGCATCAGCTATAATCCCAACAAGATCAGCAAAAATTGGTTCTCTGAGAAGTAAGAAACAAATTTTGATTTATTTTTTACTAATGAGTTAACTGAATTCTTCCTATCCCCTAAGTTTACTCTTCTTGGAATGGAAATGACTTTTTAAAATAAGTGAGAACTACACAAGCAAGAATTTTGTGATCTCTCCCTTTGCAAGAGGTTTTCTGTCTTTTTTTTTTTTTTTAAAAAAAAAAAAGCATGCTTCTCATTGTGTCTCAGGTGGCTAGATTAGATACTAGTTGACAGTGTACTGATGTTGTATAATTTAAGCTAAAAAATTCCAGTATGAGTCTCAACTAATTAAAATTGTTATAAAAACATCTGAGGCCAGGAAGAGTAACATATAGATGAGGGGGGGTGTAAATATACATATATATATATATATGCAAAATTATGATGTAAGAATTTAAAAAAAGCTTTTCTGAAGTTATCTGTAGTGTATTTCAGTGATTCAGATGTAATTATGTAAGGATACCTTTATGGATGTGTAAATAAAAATGAAATAACATGTGGATTTAACTAATAAAGACAGAAAGATACCTCTGGCTTTGGTACTACATGTAGATTTCTAGACACCAGATTCTGATCTTGTCAAGGAGGTGAGACAGTTACTCACCAAGTAAAAAAATACTGTTCGCTATACTCTTGCATTGCTTGACTCATCCCTTAAAATTTACAGTCGCATTACACCTGCAGGGAATTCTTCCTGGATTTTCTTGACTAGCAGTACTGTGCAAACATCACAGAGGATGTTAACCATAATTGCTGGTACAGGAGTTGCCACACTGAATGCAGCTGTTACCATGCCTAGCCTGATGCCTAGCAGCAGTTTAGTTTAAAAAGGAAACTTTAGAAACACTTTACAAACTTAAGAAAAAAATGATATCCAGACCCCGTTCTGCAACAGACTTAAGTAATATATGAAGGTTATATATAAAGTTAATGTGATGCAGAAAACCCTTGAGACCTTTTGTTCTAAATCTTGTGTGTGAAAAATCTTTGAGTGGTTTACGACACATTGTTGTCTTATTTTTTGTCAATGCAACTATTAAGACTGAAAACATTCTTTCTTAAAATATTTAGCCACTTTTTTTAAACCTTGATTCCATCAAGAAGCAAACCTTGCAAGTTGACTATGAGGTATAAATGTGTAGGTGACATGGTAGCAAGAGTGTATGTAGATATGTTAATTGTAAACATTTATTTCTCATCTATTTTCTGCTGCTGTTTTCTCCTTGCCTAATGCTGCTGACATGTGGTTAAGAGACAAGTTCTTTCTTTGGAGCAAGAGCTTTCTTGCTAATAGGATGCAGTGTCATAAACAAAGATCACAACGTTGTTCTGGGGTCAGATGAAGAGAGAAACTGTGCTGTGAGAGAGAGGTATCCTGCTTAAACCATGCCTTTGATAATGAAAGCTTATTGCTTTCTTATAGAAATATAATTTTGTTGCCAAATTTCCATCAATATGAATATTTCCTTTTACATGAAGTCAGTAAGTAAATAAGGCTGAAAATGAATCATTGTGAAAGTATTAAAAATCTGTTTCAGATCATTGCTTAGGTTTCACTTTTTTCATATTTTGAAAAATTTGGGTTGGATAATGATATATTAAAAGGAAAATTATCTAGGTAGACAAATACTATAAAAGAATAGGATGTTTTGCATAAGAAGATGAATTCCATATACTCCCACTTATTCTTTGTTACTGAGCTATCTGTGCCAGTTACATTCACCAATTCTTTTTGAAAGGTTGAGTTAACTTTTTCTTAATTTAAAAGCTGCTCTGTAATGGCTCACATTCTAATCCTAATTTAATTTGTAGAGATAATTTTCAGAAGAATATCTTAACAAAAAACTTTTTACTTTTAGAATTGGAAGATGGCCAGAAACAAGCAATGGTCAGTGAGAGAACAGAAGCTTTTACTACATCACGAAACTTGCTGATCTCTGGAGCAGACGCTATCGAAAGGATTATGTCTTCCTACAAAGAGGTACTGTACATCTGTCATACATGAAACAGAAGAGGGGAAAAAAAAAGTAAAACAGAATTTACATTCAATATAAAATGTTAAAAAAAAAAAAGGGTACAATTTTTAAAGGGAAATTCTATTTTATCATGGAGATCTTTGGACTGATAGTTTGATTTTTAGAGTTAAGTCCACAGAGAGTCTAAAGTACTCAGCTGCCCATATGGTGCAACATGTAAATGTCGTTTTTAATACCAGTGTTCAGATGCCATCAGAGAGCAATAGAAGTTCCTGGAACGTGAGTGATAAAGGTTCAAATTCCTCTTCTGTTTGGAGCACAGACCTGAATTCAGGCTGTCTGCCTCCAGTGTGTTGGGACTCTTCTGTTGCAAGTGTCATAGAATGACAGAATAATTTGGGTTGGAAAGAACATTTAAAGGTCATTTGGTCCAACCTGCCTGCAATGAGCAGGGGCATCTACAACTAGATCAGGTTGCTCAGAGGCCCATCCAACCTGACCTTGAATGTTTCCAGGGATGGGGCATCTACCACCTCTCTGACAACCTGTTCCAGTCATGCTTTTATATGAAGCACAAAGAGAATTGAATACTTATTTCCTGGCCACCTAAGCTGTAGGGCTGTTTTCAGTATCTTGTGAACCTGTTAAATTATAATTTTGCAAAGTAAAGAAATTTTGGCAGGAAAAAATCCACCTTGGGACAGCAAATAGTCTAGAAGTGCCGGATGTTCATCTGGAAGATCAGAGATGTTTCAGGGCATTACCCAAATTCCACTGAAGTTGGGCTTTCATCTGCAGTCTCTCTTGGGGGTTTCTCTAGGTGCCGGCTGTTAAGCAAGAGAAAAGTGAGGCAGTGCTGTTCTCCTCAACACTTCCTTCTGCGTTTGTTAATTGGTTTTTGCTTGTCCCTTTGGTAGGGACCCCTTTTCCCAGCGCAGTGCAAGGAGGCACGCATTAGCTAGGCAGCTAATCAAAGATTATGGATTCTGTTACTTGGAATCCAGCCATAAGAGCTACAGCTTTATAAATCGGAGGAGGAGGGGTAGTTTGGCACCTTCAGATGTGGACTCTGACAAAGCCAGAATCTGCGCTTCTTTCAGAAGGAGTTCTTGTGGACTGTGATTTTGACCTGTGTTTCTTTAGCTGTTCCCCTGCTTGGCCTCTGCTCTAAAGATAGTGCCGGATGACCTGTAACCCACTGATGTAATTTCTATTTTATTTTCAACATTTAAGTCATTTGTATAATGTACATGGGGACTTATAAACATCGTGGGTTTTTTTTTTTGAGACAAAAATACCCACAAAGTAGTAGCAACAACTGAACAAACTCACTTTGTTTTTAACATGGTGAGATTTTAATCCAGGCAGCGTGAGATCAAAGACTCGTTCTTTGAATTTCCATCTTAATTTTACATTTATACTTCTCCTCAAGAGTCACTGCAGTACTTTAACCACATTGTCATTCGCGTTTTGTGATTCAGGCAGTTTTCAAAGGACAATGTACTCCAATCCACTTCAAGTGGTAGTGGAGTTCCAGTTCTTGCCCACCTGATCCACCACAGCAGCCCACTTCCATTCAGTGTAATTCCATGTGCAGAGGAGGTAGGCTCAACTTTGCAAGTCAATAGTTTAGACAGTAGTATTTAGTGTTTTGACAAAGCAAGTTTGTACGGTCATGGTTTAGAAACTTACTACAAGTTATGTTTCTTCTGGGTCACAGTTGGTACAAGTTTCATTCATCACGTGCAGTATTCAGTCCATCAAATGCCACTGCCAACGCTGCACGAAGCACTCGGTCCTGGCACAAGCTCCCACTGAAATTGCTGGAAAGACTCCAGTGTGGAGAATGACGTTACAGCTCCTACCTGCTACCTTCTGCCTCAAGTGGTGTTACCCCAATACTTGTGCAGCTGTCAATGCAATTACCAATAGTGCAAAATGATGTACAGCTGATGGAGTTGAAACTTTGAGTGATTAGGTTTTTTTAAAGTGAGTTTCTTAAGTGGTTGTGTGCTTGTTAACCTCCAGGGGAGTGATGGCCGTGTAGCCAGAACTAGCATTTGCTTCTGAATCTGGCAGGAATACTGAAATTTCCAAAGGATTTTATATTGGACTTATGTCTGCCATAGCAGGTGAACTCAGTCATGGAGTGTATGTGTTTAACCGCAGCAAGCTAATGATTTTTATAATAATTTATTTTGTAATCTTGCACTCATTTTCTTGCTGTTCTTATCTTGCTCTCTGCATTTAGTATAAAAATTCATCCTTTTAAAAACATACAATAATACATTTATAATAAGATGCCTGGGTTTAATTCTATGCTGCCAGCAGATGGAGGCAGTTCTTTGGGAGCTCTTGGTGGTGTCACTGGCCGTGAATAGGAAGTTATCAGGTCCAGAGATCCATTGTTTCTGTCTTCACCAGGTGGAAACTGTGACAAAAGGACCAAGAAAAAGGATGAAGCCTTTTAAGAGCCCTCACAATCTTGAAAATGCCCAGTTCTAATCTAAGGTCTCAGATTTAGCTCTGGTACTCCAGCATGCAGTTGACAGAAAAGCCATTTCTTTTTTGTACCATATTTCAGATTACGATGCCTTGGTGCTGCCTGTTATACACAGAAAAGCACACATTCCCTATTTTGGGAATACAGGGAAGTAAACATAAATAGTTACAGATGCCAATTTTTCTCATTTCTTGGACCTTTATTTTGCTGGCAAATGCAGAGATTTTGTTTTTCTCAAGTATGATAGGCTCTCTGTTTTCAGATATTCTGACAGCTATTCTCTGCTGGTTGAAGACTACTGATCCACAGAAGAGCAGTCCCTGCAACCTCCTCATTTACTGGAGGTATCATAGCTTACATTGGCTGAAATCTGTCCCACTCAAACTGTCTCTGCCTGCTGGCTGGTGGGAGCTGTGGGTGGCATAAGGGTTAGCACAGAATCTCAAGGAATGAATATTGATAGGCATTGCAAGGTGCATCGTTGATCCTTTCGGAACAGCATTTCAGAAATACTGACTCAGAATAGCTGGGAATGGTTTTCATGAATCTTTGGCCAAACGTTTCATTTCTAGAATTTGTGAAATATAATTGAAATGAGGCATTTATTGTTTCTCAGGTTACTGAGCTAGCAGGCTACACCGCCCGTGTCTACAACATGTTTTCAGTCTTTGATGAGGTGAAGAGGGGCATCTACAAAAGAACTGCTGTTATTCAAGGGTCTGAAAACAACAGCAAGAATGAAGATAAAGCGGAATTGCACATCGATGGGCCCTTAGAAATCAAAGGTACTTAATTCATATTTGTGTGTATTTCCCTGTTTGCGGTGCCGGTGCAGTGGGATAGGAGGTGAATAGAGGTTTTGTTTCTACAACAAATCAGCCTTAATACCCCAGAGACCATGTTGCCGTCTTTTTAGCCTCCTGCTATTTTGTAACACTGTGCTTATGCAGTGCTTTTCTAACACACAAAATTGCTCAAATATTTTCTGTAAAAACTTCCAATGAAAAAGGCATTTCAACAATATACTCTACTGATTGTGGTGGTATTATTATTCTTACGTGGACAGTGCCTGCTTTCCTGAGACACTTAATTTTTTTTTTTCAGAAAACTGAGATTGTAACGTTTGCATCTTCAAACACCGCATTATTTTGTTTGGGGTAGGAGGGAAAGACAGATTCGCTCGGTAGTTTTTGGCAAAAATACTACTTTGTTTTCAGTGACTAAAAATCAGCCTGTGCTCATTTGTTCATAATTTAGTGAGAATTTTCAACTGAAAATGTGCTGACAACTTTACCCTTCCCCTCACCTCCCAAATGATCTAATCAAGATATACCTTAACCCTCCTGTCCCTATCCGGTATCTTTCTGGTGCCACTATCCTTCTGCTCCACCTTCCCCAAAAAACATTTTCTGTATACATTTATTTCTTATTGTGCTCCATTATGTGACACCTCTCCTCCTCTTGTGTCCAGCTTCTCTCTGAGGTACTTAAAGGCAGGTTTTGCAATGGGCTTTTCACAATTTTCCCAACAGACCCTTTCTGCTTCTCCCCTCTGTGGCGTTGGAAAGCCTTATTCTCTTCCTTTGGCTTCTGAAAACAAACCTCAGGAGAGTTGAAGGCACCAAGTGCTCTTTATGAAATAGCCTCTTTGAACAATTTCAACAGTGCTGCCCTTCAGCACAGATTCTCGAAGGTCCTCTGACAAGGTTCTTCTAACAAACAGTCTGGTGCAGCAGATGATGGTTTAGTCTTGTAGAGCTTGGTAATATTTGGCTGACATTCAAAGAAATGGCATTTCGTAAACGTTATGGTTTGTCATGTACAAGAGAAAATGTTTGTATCTCCTGCAGCAACCAAGTAGTTTGAGGGCACTTTTTAGACAACTGTTTTAGAAACAAAGCCAAATACAGTTCAGATATGCAAGCATGCTATTCACATTCCCTTTTGGCCTAGTATACTTACACCCCCACTCCTTTTTTCTCTGCAGCCTTTTCCCAAGATTTGATTCCACTACAGTCACGCATTTCATCCAGCCTGAATTCCTCCTAAGTCGTGGTGACTAGCATTTGCTCCCGAGTGGTTGTAGGCTCTCAGAGGCAGCTAGCCAAGACCAAGCATTGTGCACAAGGACTTAAGTAGAATTTAGGCCAGATGAATCTAGGCCACAGGCTCCACACTTTTTATGACAAGTCCCATTGTAATACTGTTTTTCCTCCTTTCTTTTGGTCTTGATGCTTCAGAAATCCGTGCAGAGTGGATTTGTATGTGGATAAAAGTAGATGTGCTCACATGCGTATATATATGTGTCTGCATAGTTAGAAAAGAAAAATCTTAATATTCAGCTTCCTCAAAGTCTCTTTGAACACACGCTACTTATTTCCTTTTGAATCAACCAATGTAAGTTTATGTAACTGAGGGATGTCTGTTTTGTGCTTTACATTTACTGTTGTCAGTAAGAGCATTGTGAAAATATGAAAACTATTAGGATATTTTGAACAGACAATAATATTGCCTTATACATAGTGTATATCTCATTCAGAATTTTAAATTTGAAATATGATTGTGTACATCTTGTACAAATACTGTCAAATTGTATTTCTGATTACACATACATATGCTTTAAAAGCATGCTAAAGTTGCAATCAAACACTGTGGAGGTAGGAAATGAGAATTAATTTTACTTAATACTTAGCTTATTATTTTTTTATCATAGATTTATTTCAACTAGAGTTTCTCCACTGCATCCAATTAAATTTTTTTTTAACAGCAAAACACTTTCATTTTCCATAATATCATTCTGGACACTACAGAACTATTTTAAATAGAACTTATTTTAGGAAAAAAAGAATGTTTGGGCTGATAAATGGCAGAAATTTTTGCCCAGGTTGTTATATTTTAGCAAAGTCAGAAGCAATTGAACAAAGAACATCTTAATGGAAAATACAAAACTAACCTTACCTTGAGGAAATGCTAGCAGGTCCTTTTGTAATAAACTGAACTTTTCCTTAGTGCCACTTTTATTTGTTTAGATTAGTCTAAGTTATAAAATAATCAGCCTTCTAATACAAAAAGTGATCTCTTTCCTTTGCATCTTGTCTGTAAAGGTAATTTCTGATACTTGCCGAGGAGCCCAGCTGTTTGGGTTCTGTTAGAGAAGCCTGTTAACAGGCAACTGAGAAGTTACAGTTTCATTTATTCTGTTTCCAGAATAAGTCCTTGTGTTACAGAGTATGCAAATGTCCAATCGAGATTGTATAGGTGAATTTGCCAGAAATCGGAATAGTAAGTGTACTACTGGAGTGAAGTGTTATATGGGTTTCCACAAATACTCAGAAGACACGTTTACAGTGTCTGTGGGTTCAAAAAGAGATGGAAGCAAGCCATTAGATGTTTTCTCCTTTGCTCTTGTTGCTGGAGGAGACTGGACTGGGCTCCGAGTTTCAGAGCTGGTAGTGAAAGTAGATTCCATTTTCTGATTAAATCCTCAAGAGAAGGTAAACTGGTCTGCTTGTGGCTAAGGCTGTCCTTGAACTTTACTGGTTGATACTGACCACCTGTTTAAAACAAAATACAGTAAATACACGTAGAATGTGAATAAAGATGTCTTTATAGTGCATTATATATTTATGATGCATACTGGCATTGTATTTATGATCAAATTTAGGATTCATTGCACACTTCTGGCTGCTGCTGACAGTGTCTTTCTGACTAGCTAAGATTTATTATTCAGATTTTCCACTAGGGGAACCTGGAGCACATGAAAGAGTTGTTTGAAACTCATCACTATACTTCTCAGCTGTGCACAGAAACTGTCACATGTCATTGCTTAATGGACGGTTTCACAAACTCTAATTTTTTTTTTCTTTCTAGGGAAAGTTATTGACGTTGATCATGGAATTATTTGTGAAAATGTTCCTATTATTACTCCGAATGGCGATGTGGTGGTTTCCAGACTAAACTTCAAAGTAAGATGATATGCAAGAATCTTCTGATTGTTGCCATCACATTAACATAAACAGCCCAGAATTCATGTACCTTATGTTAAGTACTTGGAGGAGCATATGGATAAAAGGGGAAATCCAGAAAGGTAGGCATAGTAGCTCAATAGAGGCAGACATACATAGTTTATCCTGCTCAAAGAAAGAGAAGAGAGGATTTCTGGTGCTGTTGCCAGGTGAAAAACTGACCTGAGATTTTCAAAGGTGTATATGGGACTCTGCATCCATCTTTACTTAATTTCAATGAAATTGGGGTGCAGTTTCACATAGGCTTTAAAAGTCTGAGTTTGCAGCAACAGTGAAAAAATTGAGTCTGCAGTTTTGCTTGATCACCACAAAGAGCAGTACTAACTAGTAGTTGACAGCTTAGTTCACAAGCCCGACTGTGGAGTCATTACTCTGTAAAAACTTGTGTTGTTTCTAAAAACACTCTTCCAGATACCACTCAGTACCTGCTCACAATTTTAATGGATGACCTTTACTGAATTAATCCTATATATATCCTGATCCTATGTTTCAGTGCAGACGTTATTATTTTAGAAAATAGTTGAAGTTATCAGAACACTACCATGAACAATTCCAGCAGGTCCTTTAATTTAGCTAAAGCGGAGTCTTCCTCTTGCCACCTCTGTTGGTATAGGAATTAGCAACTAGGAGGACACGGTCCTAGCTATGGCAAAACTTGCAGTGGCTTCAGTGTAGGAATTTCAGATGTGTAAAATTACAACTTTATGATCAAGGAGACAGTTACTTTTATTCATTTGTCTCAAGAGACAAAACCAACAGAAAATATAGTCAATATATTTATGTAAAGCATATGCAATGACATTGTGATTATGTGTAAATACACGCTCATATATACAGGGTAACGTTCAAATGAGTAAAACCAAGTCCATCACAGCCAAAATAACACTGGTAATTAAGCGGGAAAAGGCAATGTGAAGTAAATTTTCCAAATAATTTGATCGGGCTCCCGTGGCTTAAATTAATATCACTGATGGGCATAGCACTGCTTTGTACGCCATTAACACCTTTGCACCTAATCTACATTAGAATAATTGATTCTCACTGTGGTGTATTGACAAGGTGATATAATCAGTGTAGTTTATAGAAATACTCAGATGTTGTAGAAATTATTGTTGTTATTTCAGCCCACATATTTTATCTAATGCTACAGTTCCCAGAATAATTGCATAAATACGTGCAGGTAATTTATGAAACAGGTTGATAATTTGATACAAATGCTCACTTAACTCCCTCTAGGGGTCTTAGATTGTCTTGTGCTACCTATACTGGGTGCTAACATCTTTGCATTTTCATTGCTATTGTAGGTCCAGGAGGGGATGAATCTTTTAATCACTGGACCCAATGGCTGTGGAAAGAGTTCACTTTTCAGAATTTTAAGTGGTTTGTGGCCTGTGTATGAAGGAGTTCTCTACAAACCCCCTCCGCAGCACATGTTTTATATACCACAAAGGTATGTGTTTTGCTCAAGGTGATACCTTTTTTCTGGTTACAGGAATTTTGACCCCGCTTCTTTCATTTTTGATCTGTGATATTTACAGGCAAGTTAAAAAGTGGTAAGCGCAACCTCAGCTGTGTGGAGAGTGCTAAAAAAAAAAATCCTTTCTCGTTGGTGATGCAAATCTTCAGTCACTGGAGAGGGCTGACGTATAGTCGTAATGAACCCTATGCTCCCCTAAAGTCCTGGATGATTGGGATCGTGGCAACAAATCCGAAAGAAACTTGAATTAGACCTAATAGATCTTAATTCTGATTTCACTTTAAAACCAAAGATCAAAACAAGTGAGGGTGTTTTGGTTCCTAAATGTTGAATTGTTTGAAATAGTTTTCAAAACTTCAACTTTTACACTACAAGATCAGAATCTAATCCAATATTAACTGCAGATTGCCTTTTAATAGTACGTGCTCATTTCACTAAGGGAAACATGGCTTTTTTGTGCTTCATTTGTATTCTTACTTGCTGTTGGACTCTCAGAACATAATTTAATGCAATTGATTCTAGAATATCTCCTTAGAGACTTCTAACTAGGTTGTTTTGCACATGCAAAATCAAACCCTGAGAATCGTTGATTGCTTTCTGTAGTTCATGTCTTCCCATGGGCGAAAGTATTCATGGTACAGTTTGTAGTCTTGTTTAAAAAGTACAGGCTATTAAGCTGAATGGAAAATATTAACTGATGAGTAGATTTCCCTTGCTGTAGGTGAAGGTAACAACATTTATCTATATTTTTTTCAAATATGTGTATAGTTTGTTGCTAGCCATTGTCATTTTTCTGAGCTACTTGAGGGTTTCATTTAGGAATTTAGAGCAAAATGCTTTATTAAATGTATTTCAAAGCAGTATTTCACAATTCCCATTGTGTGGGACATTCTTAAAATCAGTTTTATTCTTAGGCAGAACAAAAGCTATTATGAATTTTTTTCTTGCAGAAAATCTTGAGTTTCAACCACTTCTCTGCGTGATCCCAGCTCCTTCTCAGCTCAACATCTGAGGCTGGCTTGCCTACAGCCCTTCCTGTTTACTTATGTTCCCTTCATTCTGTGAAAGCAGACAGACTCACTTTGCATTCAGGCAGATTTGCCAAGGTGCTGGTTGAGGGTATTGAATCGCATCTGCTGGGTTTTCATTCCCATAAACGTGGTTCTTTGTTAGCTGTTTCCCTTAACCCCCCCACTGCTGGGGGAGTTTGTCCAGCAGACCTCTTCTTTGGAACATTTCAAAACTTTTGGTTAGAAACTGAGATTCAACCAGCGTCTTTGCAGACCAAAGCAGTGTAGGGATTGGTATGTCATCTTTGCAGTGTACCCTGAAGGTATCACTCATATGCAGTCCACCCTAATAGCATCCCCCAGGAGAAGGCGTGCTGCCGTGTTGTCTTTGGGACATCTAAGTGATGTTGCCATGGCTTGGCTCTCTGGGTCTGTGTGAGCTCAGCGCTCCTGGAGGGTTTTCTAGGCAGTACAGAGGTGCTCCCTTCCCAAGGGACAGAGCAGTATCTGGGTAAATGGTGCAACAGTGCAGGGCTTTTCTGCAACTGTGCTGCACCTTGACGGTGGCTGAAGATTTTGAAATCTACTCTGGGGGACAGTTGAGCTGTGTCAATATGGGTTCTGTAGGCTTGGAAGTGTGGCCTCTCATAAGTGTCTTGTGTTTGGAAGGGGACTGTGAGACTGAGTCTTGTAGGGATTTGTGGGTGAACGTGGCTGGGAGGGTTGATACAGGACAACAATCAATCAGGTTTGTTTGTTAGAATGTCCTTGAGGATCCTGAGTTGCTTTTTTGCCCAATGTATTTGTTCTTTGGAATTACAGAGTCTTAGATGAATTTCTGAGACACTAACAATGAACTGAAGGAGATTGAGTTTTAAATTGAAGTTTATACATTTCTTGACCAGATTTGCAACAGATCTACTGGATTTTTAGGGCTTTTGTGTGGATTGCCTTCTGTGGTCCAGGCATTTTTTTCTGCCTGTATTCCACTTCTGAGTGTTTTAGCAATTCATGTATTTATGACCTAAATAAATTACACATTCAGTTGGGGTTTTTTTGTCTCTCCCTGGCTCTAGAATACATTTAGAATTTCTGTAGTGGTTTGTAAGTTGTTCTGAAGTCCCAAAATCAAAGCAGCTTGTTTTGGAAGGTCTTGCTGGTTCATTTTGCTTAACCTTTTGCAAACTGCTGCTTGGTCAGGACTAGTTTCTGTTTAGTTTTTTTGGACATAATTCTAAAACTTCAGACTGAAAAAGATAGTGCCCTGCTTATATTGCATCATGTATATTTCAACATAACTTTAGGGAAAGTTTGTGTTCCAGACTGAGAGGTGGTAGGACGGTATCACCTGGATTCAACCTACCTCATGCTCTTGATTGGTGGGTAGGTGAAAATTGTGGTATAGTGTAAGGCTCTTGAATTGGTGGATATCTGTCAGAGCAGCTGTGTTTGAGTGTGTGCATTATGCATCTGGTCTAAGAACATGGGAGATGGCTCTCCATGAGTGGACGCAGTTACCATTAGGCGTGGTAAGACCTTACTCCTTCATGGCTGAATTTAATTCTCCATCAGCCCTCTTTGAGGCGAGTGTAGGAACCTAATCTGCTCACAGTGAATGGTGGAGATTACAGTGGCTACTAACAAAATACTCCACAGTAAATAGGAGCTCACTGAAAAGGTTATTTTTCCATCTCTGTTTGTAATGTTCCAGCATAGTATTCCAGAAATGCGTTGGCAATTATATGTCTTTGCCAAGTTCAAAAGCTACACACTAAATAATGATTTCTTAAAAAATAAATTATCTCATTATATACTCCAAATTTCATCAGCACTGCAAATGCTTTGTAGTTAGATTTACTTAGCAGTATGTAGGCTTTAAAACGGAGCCTTAAGAGTCCCTATCTTTGTCTTGTCAGGTTGCTTAGCATCATTATACTGCTTTTTTTGGATTTTATTGTGAATCATTGTGAGATTTTTGTTTTTCTTCCCTTATATAGGGCCAGGCCACGCAGAATTTGTCCTTAATCAGTCACGGTTCTGATGGATGCTGAAGGGACAAACTACCCTTTTGGGGGCCAGGGAGAGAGAAGCCCAGGGATTTCTGTGAGTGTGGCTCTGCTGCTGTCTGTGACAGGCCTGTAAAAGAGGAAAGCGGGCAGGAGAGAGGGAGACATTAAGAGGCTTTAGGCAGTCCAGCATCATATTGGTGCCAGAAGCAGCTTCTTTTCAAGGGTGGATCAGTGCTAGGAACTGGTCACAGCTCAACAAATTGCCACATCTCATTGGAGCCTCAGTAACTGGCAGAGTTGTGCACTCTTACCCCTTCTTCTCTGTCTGTCTTTTGCAAAGCAAAATTAGTTTATGTTAAGTACCTCTTTGCATTACCCTTTTAATTAACTGGTCAAGAAGGTAGCATGAATGAAAAAAAAAATGCTTGTGGGTGCTCTAGTGGGTAAGGAATCATGGTTCAGATCAGAATTCAGAAACATTGTCTAGGTTTAGTCTGTACCCAGGGCTAAACTGTAGCAGTTGCTCTGTCACCTGATGAACCCTCACTAGCCAAGGAGGGGAATCGGGGAAAAAGGAGAGCAAAGCTGTGGGTAGAAGTGCCACAGATTTAATGAAAACACCAGCAACAGAGATAAACTCAGCCAAATGAATGTCCAGTTATCACAATTGACCAGAGAGCAGTCCTCAGGAGAAGCCAGAGGAGAAGCAGGAGGAACCCCAGAGGAGTTCTTTCTCCTCAGTAAACCTCCCTTTATAATGACCATGACACTATGGTATGGGCTACACCTCTAGCTAGCTCAGGTCAGCTTCCATGGCTGGCTTGAAACTGCTAATGGGCTGCCTGGCATGGCTGGGCTGTGATTCTATCCCAGCCAAACCAGGACAAACATCATTTTAAGTAATAAATAATTAACGACGTACTGATGCTAAAGGTATAACCACAGGATGTATATGTAGCATTTAGGGAATTAAAAAGCAGTCAGTCCTTTCATAGGATATCAGCAGTGTATCTGAACGTAGCCTGCTTTCTCCAGGCTGTGCCCTGTTCCTACTCTGTTGGTCTTCAACATGGGAGGAGACTCCGTTTCTGTGGAATTATTGAGCTCCTAACATTTACTCCAGCTCTTCTTGCTCTCCAACTAAAAGTCTTAGCTTTTTCAGTTGTAAGGAAACACAGATTCTGCACATGCCGGCTCTCATTCCCTTAGTTCTCCCTTGTTTTATATAAATGCCAGCAGAATTGCACACGTACATACTTGCAGGTTACCTTGGCAACACCACAGGAATATTCCTCAGTGTCTCTGCACTGCAAAGCGGCAGTAAAGCTGTAATCACCACTGGGTTATTGAAATAAATTATTCAATTATTTTCTGCCAACTCTGTCTTATTGTCTTATTTGCATGGAGGAAGGTCTCATGCGGTCTCTATTGGTTCCATAAACTTCTATCATGACTCTCAAGTCTTCCTAGCACAGGACTAAATGTCTAACACATATCTAAAATGTCCATCAGCATTTTCTCTGTCTTTCTTGAGGACTGATTCACTGATTCATAGAGCTCGGAGTAATTCTTAATCCACTGTACTTCTTTCTTCTGGTGCATCTGGTTACTATTTTTTCTCTCCAGCTTGCAGCTACTGTAATTTGGGGTGGTTTTGTGAGAGTGGCTTGTTTCTCCAGTATTACGCATAGTTTCTCTGTAATTCTGTGTGCCGTTCTAGTAGAAGAACAACCCTGACCACTTTCTCAGCAGTCACAGTGACGGTCCAATTCTATATTCTATTGCTCATTCAAGTAATCTCTAATATTTCTGTCCTTCAACGCCAGGCTTGTCAGATGCTAAAATGGAGGCAACCAAAGATGCAGTAGTATCAAATGTATGTTTGTTCTTCATCATTTAAGATTTATATATCTATGTCTTGCTGTCGTCTTATTAATGCTAGGGCAGTATGGGA